CCGATTAATCAGGTAATATCGGTGACGACAGCTATGGTTGATAAAAAGTTACAGTTAATCCTACGAGAGTTAAAAATAACACCGGAAAGGTTGTAAGGATCTTAAGTTTTACTAACGTTTATTTTTATTTTAAATCTTTACTATCACTTCTTATTTTCTACTTCCGGCCAGAATTAAAAGCTTTAACTTATTTATGCAAATTTGTCTGGCGAACGCCAAGTACTTAAGTTGTGGCTTTTTGCCAAGCAAGAGAGAGGATATTTTTTCTGGCAGAACTCAGTGACTTGGTATGCACGTGTTCACTCAGTGACGCGGTATGCCCCACTGACGTAGTCGGTTAAGTCGAAACTGGCCAGAGGTGTGTAGCATGACGTCACCAAAACAATTATTGCCAACTCTACTTTGTTTTCAAGCTACACACTTAGTCTCGTTTTTTTGTGTCACACCTGGTATAATAAAAAAAAGCCTCTCAGACTGTATAGTGGTTAGGGGAGTGTACTGTGGTACTGAAGAGTTAGTCGAAGCAGGCCGCTTGCCTTAGCAGTTTTACTCGGTTGCTGGTTGCCTTCCAGGCCAGAGGTTTAATCCTCTTAATAATTTTAAACGTATTGCAGTGTTAACAGTTCTCTGTACTACATACGGCTTCCTGTTAATATACGGCCAATCTTCCACGTAGGCCCTTGTTTATTATTCCAAAGTTAAGTTAGAGTTTAGTTAATATTTTTATATTCTTACGTTCAGACCACAAGTAGTTGGTCTCTGTATTCCGAAGTACGGAAATTATTGTAAAGAGTGAAAAATAAAGGGTTTCATATACCCTTCCTGTGTATCTTGTCTACTTCCCACATTTATTGGACACAGCTTTAGTAAGCTCCCTGTTCCGAGTCTCTTTGCATGTTCCCAAAGAAAGTAAGGCGGAACAAGGAACCTGATAAGGTGAATAACCCATATTATAGTTAACAGAAAAATGCTTTTATATAAATAAGAGTTAATCATTACTTGTTTCTTCTATTGGTTTTTCTGTTGTGATTAAATTCGTTTATTTAATTAAATTTTAATTTATTCAAAACAAAAAAAGAATACACTGAAAATAATGCGAAATTAAACATAATTAGAAATGAACAAATTAAGATATGAAGGTCAATAAAGCAATATTAGTCAGAAAGCCTGAAAAAAGATGCCCCATTTCAGCCTTTTCAACTTCAGGCTTTCTGGAATAATCGACGAAAATCGTGCCACCTCAAGTTTTTACTTTCTTTCTGCGAGTGTTTCATGTGAAAACATTAGAACTCATATCATTTTGACATCTTCACATCATGGAAGTTTTGACTTTTTCTAATAAAATTTTAAAATACAAAAAAATTATTAATAAAAATCTACACGAAATAAAAACAAAAACACAACACAAAAAAAAAAAAAAAAAAAAAAAAAATGTTTCAGATTTTAAATTACGTCCAAAGGGGCGTTTTTTAACATTTTGTGTGTTACCTTTCTTTATTAAATATCATGTTCCTCGCACTTAAACCATAAGATCCAGTGCAACAGCAATATCGCAAAATAGTTTTAAAACGAGCATATCTTTAGAATTTCCGATACAGAGACTCACGCGCTGGAGATAAAAATGTTTTTTCTGCACAACGTTGCCATTGCTCGCTTTGAAATCCTTGAGTTTGTTAATCAAAAAAAGTTTTAAAAAATAGGAAATCGATCATAAAACAAATTTCAAATTTCAAATTTGGTCTTCCACATGCTCATATTCGTTGGAGGATTACGTTATTCAAAATTCGATGACTCTATGTACCGTTATTTTATGACAATACGAGAAATATACATACATTTACGCAGATTTTTCATTATTTAATTTCTTCAAATATAATGCAGGACTCTAACATTTTATGGCAACAGTTTGAAAAGTGAAACGACATTTATAGTGACGCAAAATCGCAAACGAAAACAATAGTCCTTCGGTCAAATCTTTGGACTAATAAATTAAACAATTTTAGGCATATGAATTAAATATAAATAAATAGGTAAAATTTGCAGTTTTTTTCTTCTAGCTATTTTGTTATTCTTTTTTCAAATCTTGTAGTTCTAAACCTGTAATTAGGTTAATGGAAAAACTGTGTACAGGGTGATTCTAAATTACCTTTACAAATTAAGAGGGATGACAGTATTCATCCAGATGAGCAATAATTACCATAGAACATAGAGTCGCATTCCACTCTGAGAGGCAGAAAAGAGGAATATTAGGATTCCAATCTGAACTTACAACAGTGTTGGGAGAGCGAATGAACGAGACCAAATGTTGTACAATCAGTTTAGTGATAAACTCACAGAGAGTGCACAAAACAGATAAAGCCGAAAACTTAATTTTCGAGTGTTAATTAAAGCTGAGACTTTGATGGCTAACACTCAAATGCTTATCTTTGGTTGGCAAGGTCTCAACCTCGCAAATGATCGCAACAAATTAATTATCTAGATTATTAGGGGAAATTATCTATTAGGAGGAAAAACTACCTTGATATCAAGTATCGAGGTAGCAATTGTTTTTCTCTTAGCCATCTTCTCTCCTGTCTTCCTGGACCCAACTCTGCTGCGCTCATTCTACTTGAAGCGCCCTTATATGGACACGAAGTTCTGACAGCCGGAATGCAGCATGAGCTTTTTATGCTAATCTCGGCATGCAGCGGACGTTGTAGTTAGTTGATAATATTCAGCCCTTAATTACATAATTAACTTGTTGCAGTCATTTGCAAGGCTGAGATCTTGCCAACCAAATATGTGCATTTGAGTATTTTCGAAAAACGTCTGAGCTCGAATTAACACTCGAACACCAAGCTTTCGGTTTTATCCATTTTGTGCACTCTCTGTGAGTTTGTCACTGAACTGATTGTGCAACATTTGATTTCGTTCATTCGCTTTCCCAACACTGTTGTAATTTCAGATTGGAATCCTAATATTCCTCTTTTCTGCCTCTCAGAGTGGAATGCGACCCTATGTTCTATGGTAATTATTGCTCATCTGGATGAGTACTATCATCCCTCTTAATTTGTAAATGTAATTTAGAATCTCAACTCCGCGTATTATTTTTTAACCTATTTCTACAGCGAAGAGATTTACTGTTATTAATATTATCATTTTGGCACAAGGTACTAATGAAAATGTTACATGGCTTCCCTTTACTTCAAAATTATCACCAACGAACTAAAGAAGAATCTTCCATCAATATTTTAAACTCATGGCATAAGAATTATATCTTTGGAAGATTTATGTCTGTTTCTTACTTTGATAAAAATAAATTATGTAATAAGAAAATAGTATTTAATTTCACTTCAGAACAAAGTAAGTAGTCAAATGTATAAGAAAATCATTTTTCTAGTGTCTTTTGTTTCTTTTCTACTACATTTGGATATTTATGTCTTGGTAATTAAACTAAATGTATTACGAGACAGATGGAATTTTAACGTAAAATTTTGCTTTTAACTACACTGACTACCAATAAGTATTTGGACACCTATGCAAATGACGATATCTGCGGTCCTCAGGTACGTCACGGACTCCGCCGGTATATATCGTGTAGGAAACAGCATCGGCTTTAGTCGCATGCAAGATGCCTCGCAGTTCGGAGCTCTATGATTTCGAGAAAGGTATAATTATCGGGTATCACAAATGTGGCCGATCCTTAAGGGACATATCTAGTGATCTGAAGTACCCAAAATCGACAGTGGTCTATGTGATTAAGAAGTGGAAGGTGAGCGGTGATTGTCGGAATGTGCCCCAAGTTGGCGGACCAACGAAACTGGGAGATAGAGACCGACGAGTTCTGTCCAGAGAAATTCGGAAGAACCGCCCCCCAACCGATGGCCCTCATCCGCGAGGAGTTTCAACAGGCATTCGGGAGTATTGTTTCAATGAGTACCATCCGTAAGGAAGCACATCTGCTTGAATTTCATGGTCGTGCTGCTGCCCATAAGCCTTTGATCGCAAAGTCCAACCGCGCTGCTCGGTTAATGTGGTGCAAAGCACATCGAAATTGGACCGTAGATCAGTGGAAACGGGTTCTTTGGAGTGACGAATCAAGGTTCACCCTTTACTGTTCGGATGGCAGGGTCTACCTGGAGAACGTCTCCTGCCAGAATGCATTGTGCCAACAGTCAAGTTCGGAGGAGGTGGAATTATGGTCTGGGGTGTTTCTCCTGGTATGGGCTGGGACCCTTGGTCCCCATTCATGGTAAGCTCAACTCCGATGCCTACTGCACTATTTCGGATGACAATGTGCTTCCTACGCTGTGGCAGTTTTACGGGTGGGACCCCTGTTACTTTCAGGACGACAATGCCAGTTGTCATGTTTCGACGTTAACCAAGGCTTGGTTTGATGCCAATGGAGTTCATCGAATGGACTGGCCTGCCCAGAGTCCAGACCTGAACCCTATCGAGAACCTCTGGACGAGTTGCATCGCCGAATTCAGGGGTGCACTACCCGTGCAAAATCGGTGAAGGAACTTCTATGTCTTCTCCAAGCCGATTGGAAGAAAATACGACTAGCTGTCATACAAAGACTTGTGGAAAGTATGCCCCGGAGGGTCTACACTGTAATTACCTCTCGTGGAGGCTCTACCAACTATTGATTTTGAATAAAGTTAGTTTTTCTTTTCTATCACAGGTGTCCAAATACTTATTGGTAGTCAGTGTATTTGAACCACTGTGAATAACAAAATTCGCACATTTGACTGTAGATCCTACAGCATGTTTTTTTCAATTTCAAAGTTATTAAAGAAGTCGTTCGAAGGAAATTTTTTAATATTTTTGTATGAAATTTTGTTCAGAATATTTTAATTAAATTATTTACAGTTTGGTTTCAATGATACTCAACTAAAATGCATCTAAAATCTATATCATGTCTCTTTGAAGAGATATAATATATTTAATCTATTTACATACAAATATATTTAAACGTATTTTTATCTCAGAATATTTAAACACAAATCACCACAGCAGAATTTTTGGTATTCCAAATACTTTTATTTGACAAACCGAAAATACAATTTACACAAAAGCAAATTTAAATTTAAACGTTATAATACTTACATTAAAATTAAATAATTCCATTTTTTGAATCATATGCAATAGTATTACAAAAAAATGCAGTTCTGTTAAATATAAAATTTAGATTAAGTACATGAATCATGATATATATTAAGTACATGAATATATTTCATTAATGTATCTTTCATGGGTGATATTTCAGATATATTCCATTAATATATCATCATTTTTCAGATATATTCCATTAGTATAGATTCAGATATATTCCATTAATATATCTTTCTTTAACAATAAAGGTAAAACAGAAATATGTGTAGTTATAGATAAAATTACATTGCTTTAATTTTTAAAAACTTTAAAAAAAATTGTAAATAAAGTACATCTTTATTATTCTTACTAAGGAAATTTATGAATAAATGGAAATGTATATTACCTGCATATTTTGACAAATTTCAAATTACACAGTGACCAATAAGTAACCAAATACTGGAATGCCAATGTTCCCAAGTTGAAAAAGAAAACACACACATAATTCCCTGAATAATGGACGCACCAACAAGTTACAAACATAGCAATGATTAAACTAAGCAACGTAGTTAAAATGAAGTCCTTTCACATGCTGTATTTGAACGTTTTAAAGCTAGAGAAACCAGCGTTTTTTAAATTGTGTTTCATGCATTTTAGCTGACGCAACAAAAGCAAAATAAAAGCGAAAAACACCAAATATTCCTGAACCTTACATTACAGTGCGATAGTACATTGTTTCTTTTTGGAGTATTTTCGATTAAAAATTTAGGAAGTTTACTACAAAATGTGGCTGTACACGTATCTCACGTATGGTGTTTGTAAATGGTGTCTTACAGAGGCTCCGCCATGGTACCAGGAATCACGACCGTACGTAATAGCGTGTGTGGAAGGAGCAGGGACAGCGTTGTAAACCATAGCGGGAAGAACAGGAAGATTCTTCACACCTAAAAATAACAAGATAAATAAAATAAAATAAATATTACTACAGTTTATGTCTGTTATAATTCATAGGGAAAAAAAGGAGAGAAATTGCTATTGTAAAGAAGAGGTACAGAAAATATTTCAAAATTTAATATTTATGATTCCAAATTCAATTTCCGATTCCTTTTATTACATCTGATATAAATTGAATTTTTTTTCCTTGTTTAGTTTTTTAAAATGTAATTATTCAGAACAGGTAGACATGATTTTTCGTAGCTCGTATTCTGATTCCTTGTATGAGAAGCAAGCTAATTATTAATTCTATGTGCTTCAATATGCATATGTTTGAGGTAGTATTAATGTACAAAACAAACTAATTTTAAAATCGTATAAAATCAAGTTTACTGTAGACTGAGTGCAGCATTATTTTATAGGGATATTTTTTAGTATCTTTACTCTACTTTTTATTCACGGCAGAAATAAGCCTCTCATTTAATATTCAAGTCCATTTTCATGAACTATTTTAATAAAAGAGGTCAAAAATTAGATTAACTAGGGAAAATATTTCTCCTAATTTTATTCCATGTATTAGACGTAACTAAATAGAGCAAAAAAATTAAAATTACTTTCTTCATTTCCATCCTCTCTACATTTATTTCAAATCAAGAATAAAATGATCCCTTATAACAAAGGAACCCACCAGCGACCGAGCGGTAAAATCGCTAAACATTGATAGTTCCGACCTGGGTTCGAATCCAGGCAAACAGCTTGGCTGCATGGGAGTTTTCGGGGTTTTCCCCGTGTGCAACATGCATACGAGCCAGTTTCCTTTAGAAAGTCCTCCACGAAGGCATACCTTCTCTTAGGCAAATAGCCCTCGTGAGCTTTGCCATAACAAACTAAATTAATGACAAAGGTACTCTTAAATTATTCTTTTAAAATGTGATGAATTATTTGTTTGGCGCACTATGTCGGCCCATTGTTCTTCGTACATAAAAGTGTAATTACATTTTAAACAGGCTTTCTTCTGGGAAAACAATACTTCTCCTACCTTTATTCATTTGAAAGTCAGTAATGATTGTAATGTCCCTTGACAATCAGTATTTTTGTAAACTCGTCAAGGATTACAAAATTTGACGATATAACCATTGATATCATTAACTTATCCTGATAATAGCTTTAAAATTCTACCTTTAATTTTTTTGAAAATTATAACTACTTTTTTCCCCTAACACTAGTGGCGGTTAAGACGCTTTATGCTCATTCAGGATATATCTCCTGTGGATCGTTTCTGAACACAGGGATTCTTACAACAGTTATTTTCAAGACTTAAACTATACTTATGATGATTTTAAAGTCTCGGCGATTAATTTCAGTGTTATAAAAATTATTTTATTTGAGTTCATAACGTTAAAATTCCGTTAACATCTCTTAAGTTACTAATGCTTCCTGCATTGCTCTTACGTATTATATTTCAGGAATATGAAATATATGGTAATTAAAAATATTGGAGTTTTAATAAAAACTAATTAATTCATAAATAATTACATAACAGTTTAAATTCTCCACAGCCTAATTTAAATAATAATATCAGACACAGGACATATTCTACGCTCAGAAAATGTAAGAAATGGAAATAGTGTTGCAGTGACTAATTATTAAATTTCCCTATTTTAATCAAGTTCATTTGAGAAAACTAAATATAAGAAATCGAAAATTGCATATAGTAATAACCTAAAACTTGCAAAAAAAAATAAATAAATAAAATAAAATAAAAATAAAACTTGAATGGAAATCTTTATTTCATGGCATAAGAATTTTTAAATGGAAATGCATGCTTTTCCCCCCACATTATTCTGTGAAAATTTAAAGTTGTGGTATTAGTTTCTTCATCATACTAACTCTATAAATTTTGTGTTCATGAACCACACTTTTGCTGTATCTCAGCTCTGCAGCAAACAGCGTATGAAAGTAAGACTTTTTTGTAAAGCCGCTCAAAATAGTATTACCTCATTTTTTAATATGAAAATATAAATAAATGCCACCCAGTAACATAATTAATTGCATAATTTGGTAAAAAAAATATTACAATTGTTCTAAATATCTTTTAATTAACCAAAGATTTCTTTGACTCGTGGCTCGGAAAAATGCTTTATTATATAAATGAAAAATCGATTACCAATCATTGAAAATTTTTTCAGTCCCAATTTTACTAAAGTATTTTAAATCGTATAATTAGCAATCATTTGCATTATTTGGCATCATATTTTTATTTTCACATCATGATTTTAAATTTCATAAATTACTTTTTCAACTTTTATCGAATTCTTCCCAGCAGAAAACAGATGGTTCTTTAAAATCTAATAAGCAAATGTTTTCTCCAACAGTTGGTGTAGAATGGTAAGAGTCTTATAATCTTGGAAATATATTAGGTATTTTATTTTAAAATTGTCACTTACCAGAAACGACAACAGATGATGAATGGGCATGATTAACTTGCGGAAGCACTATGGGATGTTCCCTGTTATTGAATGCAGAAAGCTGTAGAGGCTGGGCTGGGACGAATCTTGTTTGAACTCCAACAACATGCTTCTCACTCTTTTGTTGTCCTTTCTGACTGGCAATAGCTTGGAAAGCTCTTTCACTGTTCATACGTTGTTCAATACCCACACCAAGATTATCCCGGTAAAACTGCTGCTGCTCGCTTTGCTGTTGGCCATTGGTATAGAACTGCTGTTCGGGTATAAATTCGTCAAAATGCTCTTTTGCTTGGATGCCCATTTGTGATGCTGTGCCCTGTGGTATTCTGCTCTGTGAATGAAGAAAACCCTGATCTCTGCTAAAATCTTGATCCTGCGGAGCTGGAGAGACAGTTGCAAAGTGATCTTGGGGCTGATACATTGGAGACTGGGCCTGACTATGCTGCATTATTTGACTTTCATCACGAGAAGCGATGTTATCCATACGAGTTGCTTGGAATTTATGTTGGTTTCTCTGCAAATCTTCTTGCACTGAACGGCCTGTAGAGACTTCCAGATCGGTAGGACTTGTAGCCTGCAAGAATCAATTTTTAACTGTTTACCTCAAATCATAGATTTGATGCAAAGAGAAAACACATAATATTAAGATTGAAAAGCATTATTATTATAATTTAAGACTGAAATTTTTCACAATAAGGTTTACGAAATAAAAAATTATTATCTTAAGTATTAAGCCGGTTTTAAGACAGTAGATCATACTAAACCGTACCTAAACAAGCAGAAAATAAACGAGCAAATATCTGTACATAAATAAGTAAAGGAAAATAAATTTAAATTAAAATTTCAAATGTAGGAATATTATTTTAAAAAAGGAAGGTATAAGTATTTTTTTCTAAAAGGAAGCTTTAAGTTGCAATTGATCCCCTTCACAAATAAAAATTTAAGCTGAATAAAAGTGCTAGAAAATGAACTTTTTGAAGGAATTTATAAATCTGCACTTGAAAAGAGTGGTAATAAAAAAAGAAAAATATGTAATTAAATTCATTAAAGCTAAAAAAATAATTTTAAGGTAAACTGTTAGATAAAGGAGAGGAGAAAAATGACTCACCTGGAATTCTACAGAACCGTGGGTTTTCTTAGAATCAAGGAGGTTCGATTCATACCTGACGCCTGTTCCATGAGCCAAAACAAAGCTCGAAACGATAAAGAATACCTGCAGTATAAAAATATTAAAAATATTTAAGATGTTACATAAAAATTTCATTTTCAGCCTAAAATTTGTTTAAAAATTCCTAAAAAATTATATATCCGCTTATTTTAAAACAAGATTTTTAAAAATTTTAAAAACATTAAATCCCCTACAGTTAAGAATTCTTAAGCGAATACTACGACATTTTATTTAATTTTCTTAATAATAGCAATCAAAATTTTATGGCATTAATTAAAAGATATTGTTTTAAAATAATTTACAAGGAAAACCGAATTAATATTAAAAATAGTTTAACATATTTATTGTGTACGTCATGTATGCTTACACACGAATGCTACAATAGTACAAATACTTATATTGTAAATACATTTGTAATTTAAGAAGTCTTTAGACTTTAAAAATTAAACAATTAAAATAATTGTTTAGTCTAAAAATTAATATGAAAATACAAACACAAAACTTTCATTATTTCATCATAAGCTAAAAGCACAGTTACAAACAGAAATCTAGGAACATTTCATATGAAAAAATGTGCTAATGATTTTAAATCAAAATACTAGCTTTTAATTAAGATTAACTTTTAGCTTAAAATTAGAAAAAAATTTTGATATTTAAAACATTCTATCCAAGAATCGGTATAATGCAAGGTGGAGAATTTTATCCTATCACAGAAAATGTCGCTAAACGTTTAAATTAATAACCGAATGTATTGTAGATGTAAAGACTTTGATTTGCTGTTACTCACCACAGAAATATTCATCTTTGGATTTCCGAAGGGGAAACAGCTGCTGTGCCGAAAATCTGTTAATTCTGCGCTTTTATACAAAATCCTAAAAGAATATGAACCTTTTCATGAATATCTGAAATTCAACATATTATTAACAGTTATCCTATCCTGTTTTCCAGTAGCGAAAAGCACAGTTACCAGATCCATCTTTCCCAAGACAGACATATGATAATGAACCTTGAACTAGCATTATAAGACCACACCTTAAGAGAAGTTTAGATTTCTTTTTCCGAATTATAGAACAGTGGTAAATTATCGATATACTGAAGGACATTTGAGAGATTCTTTAACGTATAACGCAAACCAAAAGATAAGGAATAGATTCATTTTTCAAGGAAAGCTGAATTTTAAATTTAAACTCTTAATGAAAAGCAGGGAAAGAGTTCAGAACGGAAAAGTATTCGAATTTTACAACTTTTTCGGAAGTGTATTTAATGAAAACTCTTCATAATTAGGCTTTGTGTTTAGAGATATTTTACTAATAAATTATTCATATGATGCAACGTCCTAGTTAAAAAACTGAGTCAAAACATTAGCTGCGTCTTAAATTGTTTTTTTTTTAAATCATCTTATACATTTGAGATACGGTTTTACATTCCAAAAAATAACGATAATACAAACGTAATAAGTATACGGCCTTTCTTTAAACTAATATACTAAATTCAATTAAAAATTTGATTTTTTTAGACAAAAATAAATATCACACAGACATACAATAAATAAATAAAGATGAAACTTAAGGAGAAAAACTATTAGTTATCAGAAATTAAATTACGTAAGGAAAAATTAAAATATATATATATATTAGACAAATAATTTAACGATTATGCATGGATATCAACATTTTTAAAAATTAAATGCTTAAAATGTTTCTCAAAAGAAACAAGAGCCCGTTTATGTATAAATAATTCCAAATTGTGGTCTACAAAGGGGGTGAAAAATTCCAAGTCACCTACATATCATAAATTGTCTCCAGATTAAGAAATTTAAGAATAGTCAATAGCCGCAAGTTCTACCATTCTATTCAAATCTAAACGATTTCTATTCAAATAATACAGTACAAAGTCTTTAATCCGGACTCGTCAGGATTTCGGCGATTCCGGATTAGGGATTTTTCCGGATTATAGATCATCAATTTAAATCTGGCAAGATGGCATGCAGAAATTATAGAATTAAAGATATGAAACCGTAATTTATGAAATAAAGAGCAATTATGATCTAAAGGGTATCAAAATTTACAAAAAAAAAAACAGCGTAATATTTATTTGTTTACTTTATTAAACATTTCTTTTAATGTAAGTTGTTCAAGTTGATTCGTTTTATGTGCTAGTACTTTCTTTTTAATTCTATAAACATACATAATTTCTTGTTCAATTACGAAGTTCCACTGTTCAAGTCCTGTAATTGCTGTGCCGAGAATACCGACTAACTTGTCAATCGAAATTTTTTCGTTTTCACTAACCTCTCTGTCACTTTCTTCATGCCTTTATCCATTTTTTGCAGCAATTCCACTTTTTGTTTGATGCACATCAAAATATGCTTTTCGCTTTGTAGATCCTTTGGCAGCTCCAGAATCAGAAACTCTTTTTGACATAATCGAAAGTTCAGGCTTACTTTTTATAAAATTGCTCTAACAGTCTGCAAAAAATAATAAGCCGGATCGAATTAGAAGATTAAGGAGCAACGCAATCTGCAACATTAACTGAAATTGATAATTAGATAATTTTAGCCTAGCTTATACCGTCCGTTATACCTTAAACGCGCATGCGTAAACGTATTATGCGCATGCGTAAACGTATACGCAACGCATGCGCAGAAAGTTTGTAGCTTTGAGGTCCGGATTATAGATCATTCCGGATTATGGACGTCCGTATTAAAGACTTTGTACAACCATTTTTAAACACAAAGAAACACTAGACGTGAATTAACGAGGATTATTAAAAGGATTAATTGTTTAATGATTTTTATTATTTATAAGCCTTAATAAAAAAAAATTCCTGTCTCTACTCTGTATTCAGGAAAATATGTTGAACAAGACATTAAATTTAAAATTTGTGTATAATGTATTCAATATTTTTCCCACATAAAAGAACTAAGCAATTTTTGTCCGTTTTCCAATTATCCCCCCTCCACATTATAACAGTCAATAGGTTTTAGCACAAGACAATTGAAAATCAAAAAAGATGTACTGGTTTCTATGGTGAAAGGTTTTTAATTCCAGTAAAGAATAATGCAATAAGTTAAAAAATTGATACTTTTATTCTTAACCTAAAAGAATTCCTCTGGAAAGAGTGAAACTAGTGAATGAAATAAGACAAAGCATGTTGCGAAGAAACTACAGTACAAACTAGGAATATTATTTAAAAATAATCTATCAATTTAAACTAAGGTTTTTTTCATAAAAAGCAGTCTAGCTTTCGTGCAAAATGATTACTATGAAAAGCAACACATGGAGATCAAACTCATTTTTAAATAATTTAATTAATTAATAATATGTAAACTCGGTCAGCACACATATTTTTTCCTATTCGAAAGAAAATTACTACTACACACATCCAAAATGTCCCTAGGTAGATTCGAGGGTAGTTACGTATTGCACAACCACCTTAGCGCGATTCGGCGATCTTTTACAGATTTGAAAAGATAAAAATTATTATGTACAACCCTCTTTCTCTCTCTTTTTTTAATAACATTCCCGTACTATCGATGTTTATAGTAAGTCAACAAAACATTATCAGCATATAAAAAGAAAAAACATTTTGAAAATCTTAAAATATTAAATAAAAATTGTATGATATACTGACTAAATCAAATACTTGTGTTTTTCGCAAAATCATTCTCCAGGTCTTTAGCGCTGTTCTTCTTCTCATATACACAGTTTTTGTTGAAAAAAAAAATTACAGAATGACACAAACTCGAAGCTGCGCTCTGGCTATCTATCATAATCATCTCATCATTGTTACCTTTAAAAAATATTCTATTCCTACAGAATTTACAACACAGTTTCTTCCATTGCGGGTAAATTCCATTTTAAAACTGAGTTGAAGGAAAAAATATCATGATTTGTCCATAAAAACCACTGAAACTTGACATACTAAAAAAAAAAAAAAAAAAAAAAAAAAAAAAAAAAAAAAAAAAAAAAAAAGCTAAATTAGTGATGATATTGCTTGTCTGTTATGAACATGGTTTCCTGAGAAATACTCATGCACAAAAAGGTTGCCAGAATTTGGTACACTCTAAAAATTTGGCGACTTCTACTAAGGTGGTTGCAATAATACGTAAATACCGTTTCGAGGTGCACCATGGTCACTCATGTTGCCAACGTATTATTTAGCTTTTCTGCTGCTACTTGCTAAAAGCAGCAAATGAATAAATGGATTTACTTGTCTCTTGTTTCTTGGGGTACGAAGCACAGCGAGCAGTTTGAAATTGCTTAAAACTGTTAAGGACATAACGTAATTTTAAAACTGCTGATTAATAAAATAGAGCATTGTAAAGTACACTTCTGTTTTTAAATTTTAAATAAACTTAAAATTGAGGCAACTGTTTGTTATATCTCCAGCCACACTTAAAGGTCGTATGAGCCTCAATTTGGCCATCTTTTATTTCTATATATACAGTACCTGCCATAAAATCACTTCCATTCCCAAGATATTTGAGTGTATTAAGCAGCTGATGGCGATTTGCCTATTAGAATTGGTTTTGGTTTATTTTAATTATGGCAAAGCACACTAGGCCATCTGCCTAAGGGGAGGGATGCCTTCGTGGAGGACTTTCTAAGGGGAACTGGCTCGTATACACGTTACACATGGGGAAAACCACGAAAACGCTTTTGCAGCCAGCCCGTTCGCGGGATTCGAACCTCGGACCGAACCACCGCTCGGCCGCTGGTGGGCCTTGCCTATTAGAAAACGTGATATTAGTTTTAAACTTTTCAAGCAAAGTAATAACTAGCAGCTAATAATCATCCTAAAATAATAATTAAAAAAACCTAATGCTCCTACCGTGTGACAAAACAAATAAAATTTTTAAAAAATCTTAAAACTTCAGATTTTATATTACGCCCAAAGGGACGTTTTCTTAACGTTTTTGGTGTTACCTTTATTTATTAAATATCATTCTCTTCGCACTTAAATCATAAAATTCAGTCCAACAACAATATCACAAAGCATTTAAGAAGATCATATCTTTAGAATTTCCGATACACAGTCTCGCGCGCTGGAGATCAAAATGTTCTTTTTTTTTCCCCTACAGTGTTGCTATTGCTCGCTGTGAAATCGTTGAGTTATATTATTTATTATCAAAATTCCCTAGAGTTTTACAAAATATGAAATAGATAATAAAACAAATTCTAAATTCCAAATTTGGGTTTCCAGGGGCCTATATAGTGTAGTGGAAAACTACATAATTCAAAATTAGATGTCTCCATGTACCGCTATTTTTCACAATACGAGAAACATACATACATTCATGCAGATTCTTTATTTAATTTCTTTAAATATAATGCACAGCTCTAATATTTGGTTGCAACAATTTGAAAAGCGAAATGCTGTTTTATAGTGGACGACGCAAAATGCTAAAACGAAATTAGCCCCTCCGGGCAAATTGTCCCTTTGGGCTAAAAATGAAACCATTTACGCAATTTTTAAATTAATTTAAATTTAAAAAAATTCTTTTATAATAACGTTCTCGACGAAAATTTATGTCTTACGAACAACTATTCTACAGTGTTTTGCTTATGTATTCAGTTTTTCAGTTTCTTATCATTAGTTCTTCATAATCATTTATTATTATTAGCTCTTCACTAATAATAAATCCCAGTTTAAATGCCATTTCTTTAAGGCTGCAGTTACCAAAAACATTAAAATGTTTTAACATTTATCCTTTTCTTTTAGGCTCAAGTCTTTTCGCTTGACATTTCGACATGTTACAAAGTAAGCAAACAACACATTTTGTAAAAAATGTTTCTTCCAGTGTTTTATTCAAATTTCAGAATTTAGGTTTCTAGCCAGCAGAGCGGCCCCTTCATGATTATGAGCATGATTAATGCTTTCCTTACTT